TCGCACTCAACGTTTTGTCATCATGTGCAACAACATAACTAGCATAATATAAATCCTAACACGGTTTATTTTATATGCACATGAAAAACATGTGACTTGGACGAAATTTGAACTCGCACCTTCGGGATGTTAGTCCGCTGCTCTACGTGTTGAGGTACCAAGCCCACAGGGATTGGAGACGAGTCAAATCTCTTAAAACTACGTATGGACGAGAAGTTCTCGCCATGATAGCAGTTACTGGATGGCACCGTGTTTCGACTTTATTCCAAAGCATCATCAGAGAGATTATACATAATATAAATCCTTATAGTATCCTTATAGTTAACCTATTAGGATTTATATTATGTATAATCTCTCTGATGCTATTGATGCTATCGTACGCCAATGCTATTTTTTTATATATACGCAGATTAGATGAAATGGTTATGATACGTATTTCCATAAATTAGAAAGATTCTGAAGATAATGAAAAGCATTCACCGTTGCAATAATTACTTTAAGTCATTTAACTCAACGAGTAGAAAATATACTGACGCAATACGGTTTCAATGCCCTTAGCCTGTAAAATAAACTATTTAGCATCAACAACTTCAGTCATATAGCTAGTTATTCCAAAGCCATCATCAGAGAGATTATACATAATATAAATGCTAACACGGTTTATTTTACATGCACATGAAAAACATGTGACTTGGACGAGATTTGAACTCGCACCTTCGGCATGCTAGTCGAACGCTCTACGTGTTGAGGTAGCAAGCCCACAGGGACTGGAGACGAGTCAAATCTCTTAAAACTACGTATGGACGAGAAGTTCTCGCCATGATAGCAGTTACTGGATGGCACCGTGTTTCGACTTTACTCCAAAGCCATCATCAGAGAGATTATATATAATATAAATCCTTATGGTATCCTTATAGTTAACCTATTAGGATTTATATTATGTATAATCTCTCTGATGCTATTGATGCTATCGTACGCTAATGCTATTTTTTTTATATATACGCAGATTAGATGAAATGATTATGATACGTATTTCTGTATAAATTCCATAAATTAGAAAGATTCTGAAGATAATGAAAAGCATTCACCGTTGCAATAATTACTTTAAGTCATTTAACTCGACGAGTAGAAAATATACTGACTGCAATACGGTTTCAATGCCCTTAGCCTGTAAAACAAACTATTTAGCATCAACAACTTCAGTCATATAGCTAGTTATTCCAAAGCCATCATCAGAGAGATTATACATAATATAAATACTAACACGGTTTATTTTACTTGCGCATGAAAAACATGTGACTTGGACGAGATTTGAACTCGCACCTTCGGGATGCTAGTCGAACGCTCTACGTGTTGAGGTAGCAAGCCCACAGGGACTGGAGACGAGTCAAATCTTTTAAAACTACGTATGGATGAGAAGTTCTCGCCATGATAGCAGTTACTGGATGGCACCGTGTTTCGACTTTACTCCAAAGCCATCATCAGAGAGATTATACATAATATAAATCCTTATAGTATCCTTATAGTTAACCTATTAGGATTTATATTATGTATAATCTCTCTGATGATAGCTTTGGAATAAAGTCGAAACACGGTGCCATCCAGTAACTGCTATCATGGCGAGAACTTCTCGTCCATACGTAGTTTTAAGAGATTTGACTCTTCTCCAATCTCTGTGGGCTTGGTACCTCAACACGTAGAGTGGCAGACTAGCATCCCGAACGTGCGAGTTCAAATCTCGTCCAAGTCACATGTTTTTCATGTGCATGTAAAATAAACCGTGTTAGCATTTATATTATGTATAATCTCTCTGATGATGGCTTTGGAATAACTAGCTATATGACTGAAGTTGTTGATGCTAAATAGTTTGTTTTACAGGCTAAGGGCATTGAAACCATATTGCGTCAGTATATTTTCTACTCGTCGAGTTAAATGACTTAAAGTAATTATTACAACGGTGAATGCTTTTCATTATCTTCAGAATCTTTCTAATTTATGGAATTTATACGGAAATACGTATCATAATCATTTCATCTAATCTGCGTATATATAAAAAAATAGCATTAGCGTACGTCATAGACCCTCACTTATTCTTTCACGATACTTCTATTTCGTGTGAGCTTTCACATAAAATATACTGATTTATTCAAAATAAATTTTTAGAACAGAGTTAGAAACCGTTTTTGTCAGCCTGTATAAAGCAGTAAAATTTATGCAAAGCTCAAACGCATGTAACGTTGCGGAGGCAAGCGATTCTTCAATATTGCATAAAGTTATACAACAAGTATGGGTCTGTCACGTGGGCTAGAGAAAAATTTTGAATGACATGCTTATTTTAAATCAACACACCACATGTTATATGGAGGTACCTATATTTAGGCACTTGATTTGTACACATTTTCTCAGCATAGCTCTCCATTACTGTTATGTCTTGTGCTTTTTTATTCAGATAGCCACCTCTAACGATACTTTTATGTGTTTTCTGTATAAAAATATTGATAAAATCACAACCAAATGCATTTAAGTCCGATATGATCACATTTTTCGCCTCTACAATCAGTGACGAAGCCAGCCCGATGTTTTACTCATATGATGCAAATTTTTCAGCAATATTGCCATTCTGTTAAATGAAGATATGATCTTCGCACTTTGCTGGACAATTTAAGCAATCGTCTCAGGAACCTGAAAAAATCAGGTGACTCAACGGGATTCGAACCCATGACCTCTGCGGTGCCGGTGCAGTGCTCTGACCAACTGAGCTATGAAGTCACACAGTGGGGAGCAGGTCAATATTGTTGGGCTCATCCCGGGATTCGAATCCCGTTGAGTCACCTGATTTTTTCAGGTTCCTGAGACGATTGCTTAAATTGTCCAGCAAAGTGCGAAGATCATATCTTCATTTAATTTCAAACACCGCACTGCATAAAACATTCATATGACATTCCTTTCACGAGAAAACATGAGCCCAACAATATTGACCTGCTCCCCACTGTGTGACTTCATAGCTCAGTTGGTCAGAGCACTGCACCGGCACCGCAGAGGTCATGGGTTCGAATCCCGTTGAGTCACCTGATTTTTTCAGGTTCCTGAGACGATTGCTTAAATTGTCCAGCAAAGTGCGAAGATCATATCTTCATTTAATTTCAAACACCGCACTGCATAAAACATTCATATTGCCATTCTGTCTTTACTAAATTAATTCCATTCATTGTTTTTCCAGAAAATTAAAACAAAAATATTTACATTGTAAGAGTAACACCACGGCTAGCTTCGCTACTGTTTACAACAAAGTCTTGTAACTAGATGCTCGTTGATTTAAGTTGCTGTTGTTTCGCTGTTGTTAACTGGCTGACATCTTAAAACAGTGAAACTATTTTTGCAGACGGGTACCAAAAGTAAATCACATTTAGTGAGTTCCTTTTTTTTCTGAAATAGCCACTAATTTTGACCATATCAGTTTTTTTTGGAAGTCTGCCATTGAAAGGCAGGACATGCATATATTAATTTGTGTCCCCTCAATTATATAATGTTTGATACGACATTGTCATTTGGAAGCTTATTTGGTAAATTGATAAATAAATTCATGCAAAATATTCATGTTGCATCAAGAGGTGATCTGTATGGTTGAAAAACTATCTTCTATCTTGTAAAATACTTCTATGCTACATTAATTAATGACATCCAAGTACTTCATAAGACATAGCGAAACAACTTGTAATGGGTATATAAGTATTGGCTGTTTTCAAAATCTGTAAGGCGAAAAGAATTAAAATATTGTTGTTGCTAATGATTAAGTTTTTTTCATGCTTTAATTTCTCTCTTACATGTCTTTGTTCTTTGTTCACATGTGGATGATTTACTAACATTTGAAGCACATGGCAGTATACTCAACGAAAATTTGCACACAACTGTGTTGAGCTAAATAAGCACATCTATTATCTCATACCAAACACTTAAATGTATGCTTATATGAAAGTTCTCATTCATTTGCAATCTAGAATTTGTCAAAATGCAAACTCCCTAAAACAGCTATACCAATTTTATTATCGTCCTAACGAGAAAACCGTGGAAAGCAGATACAACTAGTTTTCATGGTTATAGTTTGGACGTTCTAAAAACTTAGGCTGTGCATACACTATACTGAATTCACTCATCACGACATTTCCATTTGTTTTAAAGGGGTAACTATTCTGAGCAAGATCTCATTAAGTTAATAGATTTAGAGTATTTGACTATGCTTCTGACGTTAAACAATTTCATTGCCTTTTAATAAAAAGGAAAATTACCCCGCTACGATGGTTATCCGTTATAGTTTAAAGGGGGCGTCAAATAAACCCTTCTCAAGCGTTATCCCTATGATTTTGTGTGATGATGGTTTTGAAATAAAACCAAAATATTACACTTTCAATATATAATGCCAACATTGTTGAAATTATAATATTTGACGGCTATGAACGAAACGCGTTGTTATTATTAAGCCCTTGATTTTGCTGAGCACGACGTCTTTACGGAGAAATATTGGACTGAGGTGTTTTTGTACAGAACGAGCCAGTAGGGAAAGGTTTGTACAAAAAGACAGAGGTCCGATATTACTCATGCAGTAAAGACAAGAGAGATTATTAAATGTTTAATTATATGGCGTTATTTGACCTGATACAAAGCTTGCTTTCTTTCTTGCCTTTGCTGTTTTGCACGGGTTGACTTTCTCTTTTCTAGTTTTTGTCAATAAAAAAGAGATCGTTTCAACATGTATCGTCTGGATAGTTCGATGGTTTTCCAATTGTTTCACCTTTGACTCAAATTCGCAAATGGTAATGTGTTTCGTTTTCTTTGCGTTTTGCTGTTTGCTTTACAAAGTGTGTTTACATTTGACTGTAAAATTACACGTTTTGGACCTTGTTCCATTACGGAAAAAAATAGACTGTCAAAATATTTCTGAGCCACAACAGCACGCCATTTTGCCGGAAGTAACGCTTGCCATATAATAAAACGAGTTATTATTAGTTCGGAGAGCATAAAATTTTCATACAATATAATTTATAAGACATGGTTAGATTATACGTATAAGTCAGACTTTTAAAATAGGCAACGTTGTTCGAGCAAATAATATCTTGTGAGTGTCAAGTTAACAACATATCTAGTTGTGCCAAAATAGTTATTGAATGGTTTAGTTGACAGACGTTTGATAAGTATAGAACAATAGGGTAAACATATTTATATAACAAACACAAATAGAATAAAGAATAAGAACAGGAATAAAGAGCTCTCGAGAATTAAGTATCAACTTCTTTTTCTACGAAAAAAAAAACTTTTTTAAAAACTGTGAATCAACTTCACTTTACCGACAACATTTAACTTGCAACCTGCAACATTATAGGTATACTTTCTCAGGAGAAAAACCATGTCTGGATAATGTCTTTGGCGGAGAGTTCAGCTATATGCTAACTATTATCATGCAAGATAAATTTTACGAATCATTTTTGTGGGTGATGTTTAAAACATTATAGTTTTACTTTCCCACATTTTGGTACATGAAACAATTTAAACACAAGCATAAAATGTTAATGCACAACGTCTTCATACTATTTTTGCTAAACAACACCACTTGAAAAGAAATAAAATTTCAATAAGATCCGTGTTTTATCCCTTCACCCGTGTTTTATCCCATCATCCATGTTTTATCGCCTCACCCGTATTTGTGCCATCCGTATATGTGTTTCATCCCACACAAAATAAAAAATTATGATTTATCAGTTTCCTTTTTGTTTAAAAGTCTCTGATCTTTTAAAACGATGTAGCAAATAATGTATTGCTATCGTTACCTGCAGCATAAATATATTATAAACGTATTTTGGCAACATCATAGCGCCTCAAGTGCAAATATATAATGAATGTGGCTTACACAATGATCTAGTACCCATTCTACTAGATACCTGACTCAGCCAAATTTGTATAGTAATGAGTGAGGCAAATTTCTACGCGGCCGCCATTTGCAAAGGTGGCAAAAGCACAATGGCGGCATATAAAAACATTAAGTCTGTGCTGAGAGAAATCGACTTTGAGAGCGTTTTTATGATGCTGTTCTACTGAAGTTGCATTAAAAATGGTGAGTAATTTCTTTAATATTGTTAAAATGTGTAAAATTTTTAAATACTTGAGATAGAGCGGTCTTAACGTGTATTTTGCGACCATAAACTAAAGGCTGAGAGTTACATAAGTATGAACTACTAATCGTGAGTATTTATTAATTTACATCTTCTTTGCTGTTCTCTATGCATTTTATCGTAAACCAAAAACATATTTACAGAAAAAAAGCGACAAAATCGCATAACAGCTATCCAGAACTTTGATTTGAACACAACGTTTACGGTTTATATGAATTATTTTACCTGAACAACATAATTTTAGATCTATTAACAATATGACTGCATCTTTGTAAAAATGCGCTTATTTTCACTATTTACAATAAACCACTATTAATTATTTTTTTAGGATTTACATTTCCTTGGTTGTGGTGTGGATGTTCATCGAAGTCGACTAGATTCCTTGAAATAAAACAAGCTTCGTAGATTGCTGGCGAACACCAATTTTGTTTTTGTGGAGGATATCTTTATTATATCTCTTACCATAGGTCGAAAGTCGTAAATTGATGTATTTTTCAATGATCTGTTTGATAAGCTGTGATGAATGTAGATCTTCAGTTATTGCTTCGTGATCAACATTATGCTCGTTGAGTTCAGGAAACAAGCTCTTTTCTGCAAGCTCTTGGTTAATAAGATGAACCATTATAGTCTTCAAGTTTCTCCTGCTGGAAATTTTTTGTTTTTTTGAACGAGTTTCATGAATGAGGACTTGAAAAGCTCTTTCAGATGCAAATATTATTTTGGTCACACCATTAGAAGGGAGAACAAGACCACCACGATTCTTCAAACTGATTAAAGATAAAGATGTAGTAGTTTGGAAGTGTGAATAATTATGATCATGAACAGATGATGATTTTTTTGACTTAAGCAAAAGAGCTCTTGCACATTCAGTACAGGTGATTCTATTGATTATCTTTTTTACAACAAACCCAGCAATATATCCAAGTATTGCTTTTTTGTATGATGACAGTGAACATGATTCTAATCCAGAAACTAAACTACTGACATATTGTGTGTCCTTTGGTGTCATCTCTTCTACTTCAAAGGCTGGAGCATTTCTTTTATTCCATTTTAATGAAAAAATAGAACCTGCAGATTCATTTTCGAAAGTCAAACAGTTTGCATGCTTGGAACCAATGATGGAATTTCTTAAAAGAATTTTTCGTAGACTGGACTTAAATTGTACAATATCTGGATTATTGTTGAAGCCATTCTTACCACGTATGCATGCAAACAGCAGCTCAAGGTGGTCTTGGGACATTTTGTATGTCAGAATGTATTTGAAAGGATCATGTTCCCTTGTAAGGAACATGACTTTCCTCGAGCAAATCTATTTTAGTTTTTAGCGCTTGGTGATGATGTTTCTGTCTCTCTAGCAGGAGGCTTTCTTTTGACTTTTAGATAGTAGTCTCTCGGAAAAGCGAACACTGAAGGTATCGCGTCTAACTTTAACTTGCGTTTATTGGCATTTTCAGTGTTATAATCATCCTGCAAAAAATGATCGCTGCAAAGAAAGCTGTTTGCGTTTGGGGTAAAGTTTTTTCGTTTCATAGCAATGACCCATCTTTTACAGAGGTCCTTATTTTCAATGGGAAATTTGTGAAAAGCTATGTTACTCTCTTTCAAAAAGCGATTTGTACATCCATACGCGGCGCACGATTTGACCATGAAAAATCGAAAATTACGCGCTTTGCAGCTAAAATGTGCTTCTTGAACGTTGTTTTAGAGTTGAGGATGTTATACCTGTGTTTGTTTTTAAGATTGATTGCTTTCAACGTTTTTCAACCATATATTTGAGTCAGTTTGACATGTAAACTATACTAACGTATATTGCGTGTTATGTTTTTTGCCACCTTTCAAGATGGCGCCCGCGAATAAAATTTGCCTCACCGTGACAACGGCAGTTAGATATCTAGAGGATTGGGTATAAGTCATTGGGCTTACACCATACGAAAAACATTAGATAATAACGTCAACAAGAGTTGTTTCATTAAATTAATTAAGCTGAGACATCACATCAACCTCAGTAGACCTGTCAACGTGAATCATACAGCTGCTTTACACTTTTGTGACCATTGTTTTATTGCTCTGATTAATCAGAGGAGCGTGATTTTTGTTTTTTTTATAATGGAAGAATAAGTAGAGTAAACTTTTGCGATAATCTTGTAGACGAAAAGAATAAACTATTGGATTGGCCACAAAATTGGCAATGGCAATGGGCTCGTAGTGATATGGAAACTTAATGGTCAATTATATGATCCGTCCTTAATTCTTCTTATGTACTCAATCTGTTTGGCAATAAAATATGGAAGTGTTGTAACAATGAGAATGAAAATAAGTATTATGACGGTTTTGGCCACTTCTCTTTGATACTTGTGTTGGATACCGCTTCTTAATGCTTCACTGGGTGAGAGAATTTCTCGTATTATTAATATCTTCACTATGATCTGAACTAATGTAGCCATTTCCAAAACGGAGACAGTAGCCACGAAAAAATACTTTCTCGTATCCTTAGAAATGTCGTCGATTTCTGGCAGTGCGAGTCCTAACGATACAGCCCACAAAATTCCAATCATGAACACAACTCTTCCACTTGACATGGCAAGGCGGCTTTTTACGGGATATTTTACGATCATGAAAGTCTGGAGACAGTGGAGAGTGAGGAGCGTAAGAGACAAGAATGAGCCATTTACACCAAACTGCCAGAAGAACTCTGTATAAATTCTTGATTTTTCAGTTAGGTCAAAGTCCCACCATTTTACAATAACTAAAGATGCGACCCTTGCTGAACAAGCCACCGTGTCGGATATAGAAAGACTTAGGATTGTCATTCATGCTCCACGATGAAGAATCTTCAAGGGATCACAAAGGATCAACAATATTAGAAGTGCGTTAAAAAGGATTCCTGCTGATCCTACAGGTATGGTGGCCACGTAAACCCATCCGTAATCATCTTCTCGTTTATCCTGATCGTGAGAAAATCAACAAAATTTTATCATGTGTAATTGCACCTAAACCTTGATGCATTATTTGTTTTATATATTATGTGATGCACACAATAACAAATTGTATATTTTAGTCCTCCAAAACTTATGCCTAGTACACACGATACCGTTGACTGTTGGTGCAACAGTCCCGAGTCTCTTTGGCCGAGTGAACCACCTAAACGTCACGAATTTCATTGTTTTTTAGCCTACGTCACGGTGGGAAATCGCTGCTGACTGTTGCACTTAAGCCCACGAACACCAAAATTTCATTCTGCCTGGTGCACTTGAGCCAGCGTTATAAATCTTCAAACCTTCAAAATTTTAATTACATGACTATGGCATTTGGCTTATTTATATCTTGAAGTCATCATGGCTGAAAGTAGGCATATATACGATTTTGGCTCATTGATTCAAGACAGTAAAACCAGCGAGATTTCTTCTGTAAGAAAAGATTATGAAGCAAAAGTCTCTGCTGCCATTCCGACTAAAACAGACCTGTTTCGAAAAGGAAAGCTGGCGAGAGATCTTAACGCAGAGTTGATTATCCCTTACCATATGGGAGATAGTTGGCGGCTTTAAAGTAAGTCGCTTGAAGTGCTTACTGCTTACTATGCTTGACATTGTAATGCATAGCTATAGGTCTATACTTGTATTTATTTAATGCTTATGGCTTACTCTCTTTGATGTTAGGAATATGATGGGAAGGGGCACATGGGGTGTTTATTCCCTGTTGAATTTATTTAAAATTCAAAGCATCCTGACCTGCAAGGGTTGTCAAAAATTAATTGAGTTTCAATTAATTGCAATTATTTGTAACCAATTAATTGATTGGACAAAGCATCAATTAAAATTAATTGTTTGGGCAAAACTCCCAATTTCAATTAATTGATTGGGCAGACCAATTTAATTGCAATCGATTATTGACAACCCCTGCTGACCTGCATTAACCTATTTAATCGAAATTTACTGTATTCTATTTTACAATGTCAATTTTCAAACTCCATGTCCAATATTGTTGGCTCAATGAAATTTAGCCAGTAGTATAATGCAATGCTTTGGATTAATGCCATAACTAGTGTGCACATAATTATGCATGTTGTTGTGCCAAGTTTATAAAGTGTCATGTAACATAAGATCACAAAACATTTTATTCACAACTATATGTTTGAATTTGGGTAATCCTGCATATTTATACTAGAGATTTCTTCGGATTAAAGTCACTGGTAGAAGCCTCTACATACTTCCTGGAGAAATCTCCACTCTAATTCTGCTCACATGGATATTGTGATTTCAAAGTTACTTAATATACATGAAAAAATAAGAGCTAATTATTTAATATTACATTACTTCAGGATATTTCATAGATATTTATATATTCCATATAATATGTTGTAATATGTGCTCAATGGGACAGACAGAGAGGGCACATTTTTCATACATTTTGCTTGTTTATAAATACTAACTTTCTGAGCTATTCAATGTGTTGAATGTAAGAGCTATGCTGGACCAACCATGTTATTCATTAGAGTTTTTCATTTTCAAATTGCAAGCCTAATATTGTGAGTTCCTGAAATTTAGCAAAGCAAACTGTAATTACATATTATTTCAGCCACAACAATTCCTTATTATTTCTTCCACACCTAGCTTGATATTGACTTTCATATGAAGTTGAAATATTGCTTTGAATCTTCTCTGTTGCTGTTATAACTGGAATCTTGAGTTTACAAGATGATGTTTTTTTGAGTGTATGCTCTCATTTACAATCATGCACAGTGTGCCAAATTTCTAAATTTACCATAAAACATTATGATCACAAAAGGGTGGGTACACAGCAAAGCATTTCATTTACATAGATTTGATGTTACTGTACTGTCTTTACATGATTATTATTACTCAAAATTACCCACTATACATAAAGATACTAGAGCAACAGTTCTGTATTGTAATTCTTTAACATATTTCATTGTATATTACATCACCATATTTTATTTTTGCATATGTGCATATGTGTATCCTGATCCTTATGTATAGAAGTCCTCACCATTGCTATTTGATTAAAGCTAGTAGGGCACATAGTATTAGCTATTAGGTACGTACTTATACTCCCCTTGAAAGCTGGTGTCATGAATTTGGTTGGGAAAGTATAGCACTGGCATTACCATGCTTAGATTCAATTATCTAAAAAAATATTTATGGATTGTTAAAGGTAACCCAAAAAAATACACTTTAAGGCTTGATGAATGTTCCCCTAAAAGGCTTTTCTTTATCAACATAGAGTCAATAGTGATTTTATTCAATAGACTTTCTAATTTTTATTGCTTGTGTAAAACTAGAGGTGATGGTAACTGCGTGAACATTTCTTTGCTATATCTACGTGTCTTTTTCTGCTGTTGGAGAAGTGATATTATCAATCAAAGAAGAAGAATAACATTTATCATTACTTGTTGCCTGCCTTTAGTACGATGATTACATCGTGAACATTTCTTTGCTATATCTACGTATCGTTTTCTGCTGTTGGAGGAGAGGTATTATCAATGAAAGAAGAAGAATAACATTTATCATTAGTTGTTGCCTGCCTTTGGTACGATGATTACATCGTGAACATGTCTTTGCTATATCTACGTATTGTTTCCTGCTGTTGGACGAGTGGTATCAAGTGTGATTAATGGTCAAAAACTTGTGCTTCATTTGTGAGATATAAAAGGTTTCTTTGCGTTTCACGACAAAAAATATGCCAAGCTTCTACCTTTTCAAAATCACTCGTGGATTGGAATGATACCTTCCTGATTGTAAGTTTTGGCGAAGGTATGAAACTTGATAAATCTGATAGTAGTAATGAAAATGTTTAAAGGTTAGTGGAATTTTAGATTTTATATCATTGAAATTTGCGAAAAGTTTACAAACTAAGTAAAGCCAAGTTTTTTTAAATTCTGTTGTCAAAACGCAGGAAATCGCATTTCCGACGGTCTAAAATATAAAATTTTCCGGGGGCATCCTCCCAGACCCCCCTACAGAGCTAGCGCCTTTGGCGCTCGCAGTGGTGCATCAGTCACGAAAATTGCTGGATCCGCCCCTGCTACTGACGCCATCAAGTTTTGTATGACTTAACTAAAAGCTAAATAATATGCAATCAAGATCCCTATGAAGTTTTGGAGAAGTAAAATTAACTAAGCAGAGAAATAATAACACTTCAAAAGGCAAAAAATCTGACAGAATGTTCGAAATCCTACCTTTGCACAGTAAACAAATTCCAACAGCGTCTTATAAGCGGATTATTGTCGATATATATCATACATTATGTGCAAAAAACTCAATGGTACAATTTCATATGTTTTAGTAGTTTTACTTTAGAGATCGCTTTGTGGTAATTTTACTCTATAAGAGTTGACGTCATTTATGAAAAGCGGACTTGTTCAAGGACCTATTTATGGACTGAAAGCCCAATATGAAAGAAATTATTAGTTATTAAAAACCACCTGTTGCCATTACATAAACCTTCGAAATGACAAATATATTTAAAGCAAGAACAATAATACGATGTTGAATTTTATTGCACGTTTTATTGCACCTTAAAATTAGATGGACCAGATGAGGACCACATATTGTTATATACCAGTTTTTATATGTTAAAGTACAACTATATTAAATAATACAACGTATGTTTTGTCCATGATTCACGTTTAGTAAATTTTAACATTTGTATTGTTTTATCTTCAACATCTACAAACACACATAACTTTTTTTAAGAATTATACGCATGCCTTGCAAAAAAATTAATCAAAGTAGCAGAAAAAATTATAATGCACACGGCATCGGCTTGCTTCTACCTCGTATTAGTAACTTACACAGGTCCGCCTGACTCCGTCATTAGTAGTAAGCAAAGCTTTACCCAAATTCAAGTTAATTGTGATATATGTATGGCATCGAGCATATTTACAAAGCACTTGGTATGACAAGAAAATTATTACATTAAAATTCCTTTTCAGTTAGTTTACACCATTATGGCAGCTTTTATATTAGGTGAAAGCGCTCTATCATTAATTTAGATTGTTCCTGTTTGTTAAGTAGCTACATGTCATTTCCTTCAGTGTCTTCCTTTTTACAAAAATAGAGGCACTGAATAATGTTGAAGAAATTTGAATACTGTTGTGGGTAACATATGTATGTAAATTATACACTCCAAATAAATTATTCAGAAAGTTTTGACCTAATGACATATTTTGTATCTTTTAAGTGCATCCATGCATTTGAATAAAATACTATTATAATACCCTCACAGAAAATGTTTGAATATCTTCAGCAATCCAGAACCTTGCAGACTCATTCTTATAAATTATCCTAATAAATAGAGGTTCGGACAAAGTCAACCAGATGAATCATCCGTTTTAGCCCATTTCTTGTATAAACGAGTTTTCAACAAGCAAGGTACATTTATGTATATAATCTTCATATGTGTTTTGAGATGCATTTGAAATACACACTATAAGAATTGTAAATGCTTCACAAACCGGTATATTTTTTGTCGCCTCGTCGACTGGAAATGAATTTGTGCTGTTAAAAGGTAAAGACGACTCTAAAGCAAATATTTGATTTATAGGCTGCAAGATTATTACAAAGATCACAAAAAGCGAGTAATCCATTTTAACTACACTTGTTTTGAATCCAACTACAACGCTTTATGCTACTTGAGAATGCCTGTTTAAAGTAACGACAATAATTCTTAAGACGTCACAGTTCTGAGATCGCAGGGGGTCTTATAATGACAGGACAGGCATTTTTCTTAACATTTAAGTAGACACAGCAAATTTAAAATCATTTAAAAATGGATGTGTGTGTGCGTGTGCGTTTGTGTGTTTTTTTTTCTTTAGTTCAACAGATAAAATCTTCGGGGATGAATGTTAATGTAAAAACCTTCAATTCATGCAAGTACTTGTCAAGACAAGAGTGATTAAAAAGAGAACTTTCAGTTGATTAAAAGGACAAATGCTATCCACATTGGAAGCATGTAGATAAAATTGAGTACTCATGGCAGCGAGAGGGATTTGTAACACAAACCAAAACAGTAATTCCTTGAAAGAAAATAAGTAAAATTTTCGCAGTTAATAAATTGTATATTAGGTATTCTATATTAGTATTGTAAGACTATTTAGCATAGTTTTTATGTTAAGTACATGATCCTCATTTAAGTGCAACCACCGTCCAAAACATGACATCGTTTATTCAAGTTTCTATTGATTTATCAACTGTATAGAAACAAAGATATCTTAAATTCATAAGGCACAAATGAATGTCGTAACTATTACAATAAAACTAGATAGCTAAGGAATCGAAATATTCAACTAGTTTACACTTTTGTTGTCGTTGTTTTACTGCTAACCCTAACAAAAGGAGCATGATTGTAATTTTTGCAACGGATGAATAAAGATATCAAACTGTTTCGATAATCTTTTAGACGCAATGCATAAACTATTGGATTGACGACAAAATTAACTATGGCAACAGGCTCATAATAATATGAAAATAATACCATTAAACCTGAAGCTCTGTCGTTTATTCTAGTTATGTACTCAATCTGTTTTGCTATAAAATATGGAAGGGCTGTAACAATGAGAATAAGATTGAGTATGATGACCGTTTTGGCGACTTCTCTCTGCTTCTTGTTTCTTGTATCGCTAGTTAGGGTTTCTCGCGGTGCAAGAATCTCTCTTATTATAAATATCTTCATGAAGACCTGAATAACTGTAGCCAACTCCAAAACAGACACGGTTGCCACAAAAAATATTCTCGTATTTTTAGAAATGTCGTCGATTTCAGGTAAGGCTAGTCCCAACGATACAACCCATCCGATCCCAATTATGAACACAACTCTTCTTCTTGTCATGAAAAATCGGCTTTTTACGGGATATTTAACTATCATGTAAGACTGGACTGTGAGAAGTGTAAGAAAAAAGAATGAGCCGATCAAACCAAATTGCCATAAGACATTTGTGTAAATTTGCCACTTTTCGGAGATTTCGATCTCCCACCATTTTGCGACAATTGAAGATGCAACCTTTGCTGAAGAAGCCATTGCGTCAGATATAGAAAGATTTATGATAGTCATCCATGCTCCACGGTGAAGGATCTTCAATGGATCACAAAGGATCACCAATATTAGCAGAGTGTTAAAAAGTATTCCTAATGATCCTATAGGTATGGTTGCCATATAAACCGATCCGTACGTCTTGTCTTGTTCTGTCTAATTTAGAAAGAGAAACCAAGTCTTGACTGGCTTTTTAAAAATGTTGAGTATACATTAAATAAATTTGATAAAATATCACTATTTTACCATACAATCATTGCTTTTTAGATCGGCTTTTATCATGAAATCAATCCATTAAAGTGGTTCTATGACGAAAACTTAACGTTAAAAAAGCATCGATTTTAGCATTCAATAGTTTAAACACATATCAATTATTGCTTTCCTAAAATGTAAGCAAAAATAATAATATAACGAGGGAGTTATGAACATTTGAAATGTCTAATTTTCATGTCCGCCATTAAAATCGGCCATTTTGAATATTTGCAATCAGCAAAGGTCTGTGACGTCATAGTCTTAACACGGCAAGAAGCGCACGTGTGAAAGTATACAAAGTAATACATAAAAAGAGCAAAAAAATGTCAAATTCAGCGAGATCTAGCTCGCTCTCTGAGTCTTCGATCGAGACAAACGCATCGATTTCTTCATCGGAATTTATGACGGCAAATTCGGACGAATCTAATTCGGAAATTTTGCCATTTGCCGATAATATTGAACCGCTTGCTTCCCCCGATGAAATTGCTGAGTACGAAGCTGCAGTTGCAGAAGAACGGCGGGTTGAAGACATGCTGCAAGATCGTTTTGATGCCCGTGTTGATGTTACTTCATGGTAAGATGTCATTCTTAGTGTGTTACATTGATCTGAAACGTCTGCCGTTAGCTATGATAACTTTATGGAAACATACAATTTGGCCAATTTTAAAGGTGTGAATGTGGCCATTGTTCGTTGGATCTTGTATTCAACCCTCAAGAGTGCCGATGCTGCATGGAAATAGAGCAATGTCATGGTAAAATGTATCATAACGAAATCGATGAAAGGAAATGCATTTTGGATCACCCTGGCTTTAACGAAGTTTGCCTGAACGAATTTGTTCTTCAAATAGCAGCTTCGTTATGTTCAAAGCCTGCTAGGTTTAATTCTTCTTTGTTCATGCTGGATACAGACACTTTATTTTGTATTTCCTTTAAAACCTTAATATAAATGTATATTATATATTGGAAGTTTGCCTGGATGTATTATTGCTTCTCTCAAATTGTGTAAATTTATCAACTGCAATATATATAAGTGTATAAGAGTTGAAACTTGTGCTAACGTTGCTCTCTTGACGTTGTTGGTGTTTGTGATTTCTTCCAAATAGTAGGTACGGCACCAGGTTTGTGCCGTCTAGTCATACCACCCAAATGGAATAAACGCTCAAAACAATCTTCCGAGGAGTGATTCGAACAAATCATAAATAGAATTTCGCGTGAACTCGGATTAAAATTTGCGCGCTTCCTCAGAACGAATTTAACCCAAATTCTTCTCAAAGACTCGTCGTTTGGGCTTTTATGTAATGAAATGCCTGTACTTCTATCAGACTTATTACTACAATCTTGCACGACACATCGTTGAAGGCATGTTAAAAAAATTGAGTTATACAACCTTTCAAATCTCTATTTGTAGATAATGTTATATTGTAAACAGCCGCGAGTTAAGACTATGACGTCACAAGCACCTTCCTACATGACAATTCAAATATGGCGCATTTTAATGGCGCCTCTTGAAGTTCAAGTTTTATCGCTACGTAACTCGAGCAGCATGAAACACATTGCGCTAAAATTTCGCCAGAAGACATTTTTTTACATACACTATCAATCTATGAAAAAAAAACGAGAGGCAAAATTTTCGTCATAGTACCACTTTAAAACGAGGATAAACGTCAGTTATCACATCAAGTGTACTTAACGGGCAAGTAAGTTAATATGTCCGGGCCCAACATTGAAATCATAATATTATACTAACATTCTGTTTCTTATCTACATAAACTCCCATTTCATGTATTTAATTTCTCAAAAAGTGTTTTAAATTAAAGTTGCAAAATCATAAATATAAGGTGCGCTCCAACAGTCATTTGAATTGATGATAGGTTGCAAGCATCATATTAGACGAAGGTTTTCAATATTTCATTCCCAATTGTGAAGGATACATAACCATAGTGTAAATGCACGTACTTTATGTAAACTGCAGCGAATACAGTATATCAAATTAACATAAGCCTAAGCAAGTGAGCTGTTTATTTGAGCACTTTTTCTTTTCATTACTGAACATACCTTTTTATGATCATTATACTTTTGAAGGACCTGTTCTCTTAAGTCTTCACAGTGATCTGGTAATTTTTCCAACGCTGTCGAGCAACTACAGTTATATCGTTCATAAATTAGATCAAACCTGGCGTCGCAGTTTCCACTTGGTTGAGGAAGATATGCCAATATAAATAACACAATGAAACGCATAGCAAATATTGTTAAAGACAATTAATCGTACTCTTCTCTGGTTGACGTTCTTGCAATGACAACTCACTGTCATCTGAAAAAAAAGATGTAAACATTAACAATTGATAGTCGTAGCGGGTGGATGATAAATTGCAATAACAGCTTTTACCGTGAGAAACACGTGATCTAATTGTAGATAGAGCAATTGATGAATTTGTGTTTTTAAGTGTGCTTAAAATTTTTATCAAAACGAGATGCCTATCATGCCTACACGAAGCATATGGACACGTAAACGCATAACTTATTGTTTGATAAAAATAAGTTTTAGATTAATAGCCATGCTTTTGGGAGCCACTGAGTATTTTAGTAAAACATATAGCAGCGGCAACTCCAATTAATGTTAGCATTTTGATTCAACGTTTTAAATCTGAAAAAAGAAGGCGAGAATTTTTAAATATGCGTTCTCCATGTTATTTCATTCTAGTTTTCCATGCACTTCACAAAATGCTTTTCTTAGTTTGTGTAAGCTGTTGACTTGAATCGACTAGATATGATTTGCGTATGAAAAAACGGCTGTTCAAAACTGTCGTTGATCAATATGCTAGTCATGGTAGCTAGGTCTTGCAATCCTAATTCTCGGCTTTTCATTGCAGTAGCAAAGCCAGCCCGATCTTTTACTCTTAGAACGCAAATTTTTCAGCGAGATTACTCTTCATTTTATTTAGAAAATTAATTCAGTTGATTCTCTTTCCAGTAAGTGAACACAAAATATACTCAGTGATGCACCTTGTTAAATCTTTACGAAGGAATAAAAGCTAATCGAATTAACGATGAAATGACTTTTGTCGTTTAATGTTGAGAGACTTACAGTCTCGCACTCAACGTTTTGTCATCATGTGCAACAACATAACTAGCATAATATAAATCCTAACACGGTTTATTTTATATGCACATGAAAAACATGTGACGTGGACGAAATTTGAACTCGCACCTTCGGGATGCTAGTCCGCTGCTCTACGTGTTGAGGTACCAAGCCCACAGGGATTGGAGACGAGTCAAATCTCTTAAAACTACGTATGGACGAGAAGTTCTCGCCATGATAGCAGTTACTGGATGGCACCGTGTTTCGACTTTATTCCAAAGCATCATCAGAGAGATTATACATAATATAAATCCTTATAGTATCCTTATAGTTAACCTATTAGGATTTATATTATGTATAATCTCTCTGATACTATTGGTGCTATCGTACGCTAATGCTATTTTTTTATATATACGCAGATTAGATGAAATGATTATGATACCTATTTCAGTATAAATTCCATAAATTAGAAAGATTCTGAAGATAATGAAAAGCATTCACCGTTGCAATAATTACTTTAAGTCATTTAACTCGACGAGTAGAAAATATACTGACGCAATACGGTTTCAATGCCCTTAGCCTGTAAAATAAACTATTTAGCATCAACAACTTCAGTCATATAGCTAGTTATTCCAAAGCCATCATCAGAGAGATTATACATAATATAAATGCTAACACGGTTTATTTTACATGCACATGAAAAACATGTGACTTGGACGAGATTTGAACTCGCACCTTCGGGATGCTAGTCGAACGCTCTACGTGTTGAGGTAGCAAGCCCACAGGGACTGGAGACGAGTCAAATCTTTTAAAACTACGTATGGATGAGAAGTTCTCGCCATGATAGCAGTTACTGGATGGCACCGTGTTTTGACTTTATTCCAAAGCCATCATCAGAGAGATTATGCATAATATAAATCTTTATAGTATCCTTATAGTTAACCTATTAGGATTTATATTATGTATAATCTCTCTGATGATGGCTTTGGAATAAAGTCGAAACACGGTGCCATCCAGTAACTGCTAGCATGGCGAGAACTTCTCGTCCATACGTAGTTTTAAGAGATTTGACTCGTCTCCAATCTCTGTGGGCTTGGTACCTCAACACGTAGAGTGGCGGACTAGCATCCCGAAGGTGCGAGTTCAAATCTCGTCCAAGTCACATGTTTTTCATGTGCATGTAAAATAAACCGTGTTAGCATTTATATATTATAATCTCTGATGATGGCTTTGGAATAACTAGCTATATGAAGTTGTTGATGCTAAATAGTTTGTTTTACAGGCTACATTGAAACCGTATTGCGTCAGTATATTTTCTACTCGTCGAGTTAAATGACTTAAAGTAATTATTGCAACGGTGAATGCTTTTCATTATCTTCAGAATCTTTCTAATTTATGGAATTTATAGGGAAATACGTATCATAATCATTTCATCTAATCTGCGTATATATAAAAAAAATAGCATTAGCGTACGTCATAGACCATCACTTATTCTTTCACGATACTTCAATTTCGTGTGAGCTTTCACATAAAATATACTGCTTTATTCAAAATAAATTTTTAAAACAGAGTTAGAAGCCGTTTTTGTCAGCCTGTATAAAGCAGTAAAATTTATGCAAAGCTCAAACGCATGTAACGTTGCGGAGGCAAGCGATTCTTCAATATTGCATAAAGTTATACAACAAGTATGGGTCTGTCACGTGGGCTAGAGAAAAATTTTGAATGACATGCTTATTTTAAATCAACACACCACATGTTATATGGAGGTACCTATATTTAGGCACTTGATCTGTACACATTTTCTCAGCATAGCTCTCCATTACTGTTATGTCTTGTGCTTTTTTATTCAGATAGCCACCTCTAACGATACTTTTATGTGTTTTCTGTATAAAAATATTGATAAAATCACAACCAAATGCATTTAAGTCCGATATGATCACATTTTTCGCCTCTACAATCAGTGACGAAGCCAGCCCGATGTTTTGCTCATATGATACAAATTTTTCAGCAATATTGCCATTCTTGTCTTTACTAAATTAATTCCATTCATTGTTTTTCCAGAAAATTAAAACAAAAATATTTACATTGTAAGAGTAACCCACGGCTAGCTTCGCTACTGTTTACAACAAAGTCTTGTAACTAGATGCTCGTTGATTTAAGTTGCTGTTGTTTCGCTGTTGTTAACTGGCTGACATTTTAAAACAGTGAAACTATTTTTGCAGACGGGTACCAAAAGTAAATCACATTTAGTGAGTTCCTTTTTTTTCTGAAATAGCCACTAATTTTGACCATATCAGTTTTTTTTGGAAGTCTGCCATTGAAAGGCAGGACATGCATATATTAATTTGTGTCCCCTCAATTATATAATGTTTGATACGACATTGTCATTTGGGAGCTTATTTGGTGAATTGATAAATAAATTCATGCAAAATATTCATGTTGCATCAAGAGGTGATCTGTATGGTTGAAAAACTATCTTCTATCTTGTAAAATACTTTTATGCTACATTAATTAATGACATCCAAGTACTTCATAAGACATAGCGAAACAACACTTGTAATGGGTATATAAGTATTGGCTGTTTTCAAAATCTGTAAGGCGAAAAGAATTAAAATATTGTTGTTGCTAATGATTAAGTTTTTTTCATGCTTTAATTTCTCTCTTACATGTCTTTGTTCTTTGTTGTCATGTGGATGATTTACTAACATTTGAAGCACATGCCAGTATACTCAACGAAAATTTGCACACAACTGTGTTGAGCGAAATGAGCACATCTATTATCTCATACCAAACACTTAAATGTATGCTTATATGAAAGTTCTCATTCATTTGCAATCTAGAATTTGTCAAAATGCAAACTCCCTAAAACAGCTATACCAATTTTATTATCGTCCTAACGAGAAATCCGTGGAAAGCAGATACAACTAGTTTTCATGGTTATAGTTTGGACGTTCTAAAAACTTAGGCTGTGTATACACTATACTGAATTCACTCATCACGACATTTCCATTTGTTTTAAAGGGGTAACTATTCTGAGCAAGATCTCATTAAGTTGATAGATTTAGAGTATTTGACTATGCTTCTGACGTTAAACAATTTCATTGCCTTTTAATAAAAAGAAAAATTACCCTGCTACGATGGTTATCCGTTATAGTTTAACCATTGTAGCAGGCGTCAAATAAACCCTTCTCAAGCGTTATCCCTATGATTTTGTGTGATGATGGTTTTGAAATAAAACCAAAATATTACACTTTCAATGTATAACGCCAACATTGTTGAAATTATAATATTCGACGGCTATGAACGAAACGCGTTATTATTATTAAAGGACACATGCAAGCTAGAAAACAACTTTATTTTATTGTAATGCCTATAGCGTGAAAATAAGACGTACCAAGTTTCAAAGTTGTCCGCAAAATATTTCAAAAGATATTTAGGGTTATAATCGGTAAAAACACGACATTCGATGACCATTGCTAAAACGCCGTGAGATTGTTTAAGTCTGGGAACTGGGAAAGAGTGACGTATTAGTTGACATAAACAAGCATCGTTCTTATATCGTTCTACGACTTGCACGCATTGCTTGCACGGCTTTCGGTACTTTGCTATTACTGTTTGTTATTTATCAAAAATTAATGGTTCTTCTGAAGAAGAAGCCGATTATGATATTGTCATCAATAACAATGAGGTACAACCTTACATGTTTGAGTCTTTGGCCAACGCGCAAGGTGGTCAAAATGATGACAATTCTTCGTCATCGGAAAGCGAAGATGAATACATTCACAGAATTGTTGGAAATGTTGAGTGGTTAGTTGCATTTTATTTATTAAAGCGAGATTTATGTTGCAATGATCCCGTTAAAGCGAGATTTATGTTGTTTAATGGCTTCAGCTTTGCTGATTTTTGATTTGTGGCAAGTCAATGGGACAGGTATTTCTTTCACTCCAGCGAGATCAAGAGCTTTGGACAGTGTTGGATTAATGCGTGTGCAGTGCAAAACTTCTTTCATCAAGTCCTTAACATATCCTGAAAAGCAAATCATTATTTATGTTGGCTTTGCATTGCACTTTGAGAAAAGGTAAGTTTATTTTTCTGTGCTAACCATAAGTGCTGTCAACTTTCACTGGTTTGATGACCCCTTGTCCTTCTTTTGACTTTGAATAAGCCACTCTCCAAATCAATGCCTCTTCTGTTTGCCCACCATTCTTCGTTTTCTGAGCTTTATTTCCATTCTCATTGAAATGAAGAGCGGCAATAAACAATCTACAAATGAATGTTAAGTTTATGTTTACAACTATTGCAACTTATTGCTTTTGCAATGATGACTTTTTTAAGTAATACACAAGTCATAATCACAATGGAACAGCTTTCACCACAACATGGGCATTGATTCACTAACTGTTTAAGGCAACTATCAAACACTATGTATTTTCTCTCATTTTGAGCATCTTCCCTATAACATAAAAATCACCATCAGAATCAGAGAGAGATAAACGTAACGTTCTGAGAAACATATGACAGAGAAAAGCAATGTAAAGAATAGTCAGGTGACTGGATAGTTGGTACTAACGTCGCATTGTCATTGTCGGATTCTTCATTTTCGCTTAACTCATTTGAACATTGAGAGTCAGATCCATTGTAGCTATTGCTCATCGTCGACGTGCTTTCTGTATCAGAGCATACAGCGCTATCCTCAAAATGTTCAAATTCACATGAAGTCGTCTGTGTGTTGTGATTTTTTGTTGAAATGAACCCAACCTCCGTACCTTAGCATAAAATTATCGTATTGCTGGATTTTTCACAAAAATCAAAACGGCCGAAATGGAAAGTCTATACCTCTACTTATCATATTTGGCACTTTTGTTTGAGTGGTTCTTGACCTTACGTGTTTTTGCGGACGGATTGTTATGGCTGCTTGGCATTTCACATTGCGCTTCTAACGTCGTTAAGGAATTTTCTATGAGTTAAAATAACACAGAAAAGATCAATCGACATTAGTCTGAATTAGTTACCACTGTATATGTTTGTGTTTTGCTGTCTACATATATATTGACATCTTTTATCTTAGACAAACTTCCTTTGAAGTAAAACGCACAAACATTTCGAGCCGATGTCGACACATCGTTGTCGTCGTCTACAAGAAAGTCGTCTTGTTCTGCAAGAACGTCGTCAATAATCTAAAATTATAAAATTGCCTTCAATATGGTAATGCTATATACCTTAGTTCTTGATAAATGTAAACAAATATTGCTAACTATAACTATAATATTCACCTCTTGCCTTCGTCTCTTCTCAAATGCAGTTCTAACATTTGTTGGCTGCTTCCTTTTAGATGCTACACTTGTGGGTTCCACAGAGTATTCAAAAATCGTGGGTACAGCATCTTTCTCAAGGCGAAGCCGTCCTGCTGTCCATCCTACTGATTGCATCGCTTCAAAATTTTGCACGAAGCACGAACTCTCGAAATGTTGCGAGCACAATTTTGAGCTCTTTGTTGGCTTCCAATTTTTGCGTCGGATTTTTTCAATCCAAATATCTCGCATGCGCTTGTTTTCGGGAAACGAAAAAAAAAAGAAACCTTTTGCTACGTTTGGTGGTTCTTAGAAGAACCGTTTTTACAATTAAATGCGGCACAATAAACCATATTTTTAATGCTAAATTGTCGTGTTGTTAAGAAGTTACCAATATATTTTGAACGAAGCGCGCAATTGACCGCGTTTAGCTAATGTCAACTATTACGTCACAACGACCTTTTAACAATCGGTAGCCGTCGTTAGCTCGTCGGGCATTTTCAATACGTTATCAGTAAAGCAGCAACTTTAAACCTCCATATCTTCAAAAATATTTATCCTTTGAGTCTCAAACTTTGGTGAACTATTAGTTGGAGCTATACCTTTATGTAAAGTACAAAAGTAACAATCCGAATTCTATGTTGCATGTGTCCTTTAAGCCCTTAATTTTGCTGAGCACGAGGTCTTTACGGAGAAATATTGGACTGAGGTGTTTTTGTACAGAACGAGCCAGTAGGGAAAGGTTTGTACAAAAAGACAGAGGTCCGATATTACTCATGCAGTAAAGACAAGAGAGATTATTAAATGGTTAATTATATGGCGTTATTTGACCTGACACAAAGCTTGCTTTCTTTCTTGCCTTTGCTGTTTTGTACGGGTTGACTTTCTCTTTTCTAGTTTTTGTCAATAAAAAAGAGATCGTTTCAACATGTATCGTCTGGATAGTTCGATGGTTTTCCAATTGTTTCACCTTTGACTCAAATTCGCAAATGGTAATGTGTTTCGTTTTCTTTGCGTTTTGCTGTTTGCTTTACGAAGTGTGTTTACATTTGACTGTAAAATTACACGTTTTGGACCTTGTTCCATTACGGAAAAAAATAGACTGTCAAAAATATTTCTGAGCCACAACAGCACGCCATTTTGCCGGAAGTAACGCTCGCCATATAATAAAACGAGTTATTATTAGTTCGGAGAGCATAAAATTTTCATACAATATAATTTATAAGACATGGTTAGATTATACGTATAAGTCAGACTTTTAAAATAGGCAACGTTGTTCGAGCAAATAATATCTTGTGAGTGTCAAGTTAACAACATATCTAGTTGTGCCAAAATAGTTATTGAATGGTTTCGTTGACAGACGTTTGATAAGTATAGAACAATAGGGTAAACATACTTATATAACAAACACAAATAGAATAAAGAATAAGAACAGAAATAAAGAGCTCTCGAGAATTAAGTATTAACTTCTTTTTCTACAAAAAAAAAACTTTTTTAAAAACTGTGAATCAACTTCACTTTACCGACAACATTTAACTTGCAACCTGCAACATTATAGGTACACTTTCTCAGGAGAAAAACCATGTCTGGATAATGTCTTTGGCGGAGAGTTCAGCTATATGCTAACTATTATCATGCAAGATAAATTTTACGAATAATTTTTTGAGTGATGTTTAAAACATTATAGTTTTACTTTCCCACATTTTGGTACATGAAACAATTTAAACACAAGCATAAAATGTTAATGCACAACGTCTTCATACTATTTTTGCTAAACAACACCACTTGAAAAGAAATAAAATTTCAATAAGATCCGTGTTTTATCCCGTGTTTTATCCCATCATCCATGTTTTATCGCCTCACCCGTATTTGTGCCATCCGTATCTGTGTTTCATCCCACACCAAATAAAAAATTATGATTTATCAGTTTCCTTTTTGTTTAAAAGTCTCTGATCTTTTAAAACGATGTAGCAAATAATGTATTGCTATCGTTACCTGCAGCATAAATATATTATAAACGTATTTTGGCAACATCATAGCGCCTCAAGTGCAAATATATAATGAATGTGGCTTACACCATACGAAAAACATTAGATAATAACGTCAACAAGAGTTGTTTCATTAAATTCAGTAGAGACATCACATCAACCTCAGTAGACCTGTCAACGTGAATCATACAGCTGCTTTACACTTTTGTGACCATTGTTTTATTGCTCTGATTAATCAGAGGAGCGTGATTTTTGTTTTTTTTATAATGGAAGAATAAGAAGAGTAAACTTTTGCGATAATCTCGTAGACGAAAAGAATAAACTATTGGATTGGCCACAAAATTGGCAATGGCAATGGGCTCGTAGTAATATGGAAACTTAATGGTCAAATTATATGATCCGTCCTTAATTCTTCTTATGTACTCAATCTGTTTGGCAATAAAATATGGAAGTGCTGTAACAATGAGAATGAAAATAAGTATTATGACGGTTTTGGCCACTTCTCTTTGATACTTGTGTTGGATACCGCTTCTTAATGCTTCACTGGGTGAGAGAATTTCTCGTATTATTAATATCTTCACTATGATCTGAACTAATGTAGCCATTTCCAAAACGGAGACAGTAGCCACGAAAAAATACTTTCTCGTATCCTTAGAAATGTCGTCGATTTCTGGCAGTGCGAGTCCTAACGATACAACCCACAAAATTCCAATCATGAACACAACTCTTCCACTTGACATGGCAAGGCGGCTTTTTACGGGATATTTGACGATCATGAAAGTCTGGAGAGTGAGGAGCGTAAGAGACAAGAATGAGCCATTTACACCAAACTGCCAGAAGAACTCTGTATAAATTCTTGATTTTTCAGTTAGGTCAAAGTCCCACCATTTTACAATAACTGAAGATGCGACCCTTGCTGAACAAGCCATCGTGTCAGATATGGAAAGACTTAGGATTGTCATCCACGCTCCACGATGAAGAATCTTCAAGGGATCACAAAGGATCACCAATATTAGAAGTGCGTTAAAAAGGATTCCTGCTGATCCTACAGGTATGGTTGCCACGTAAACCCATCCGTAATCATTTTCTCGTTTATCCTGATTGAGAAGGAAAGGCATTGAGAGAATTTGATACAACTTCGATAGTATTAATTGCAAGAAATTTCTTTTTTAATGAGCTTTCGACAGGTATAAACAATAGCTATAAGACTGTCACCTGTATGTTCTAAAACCTTGCATACACTCGAAGTGTTGCTTACGTTACTTTTTACTAAACGGATACTCAACATGTAAATAATCGACTAAAGAGCGTGAGAAAATCAACAAAATTTTATCACGTGTAATTGAACCTAAACCTTGATGCATTATTTGTTTTATATATTATGTGATGCACACAATAACAAATTGTATATTTTAGTCCTCCAAAACTTATGCCTAGTACACACGATACCGGATTCGTCTTGTATCGGATTCGTTGAGCAATCCGATACGAAAAATACCCTCTGTTCACACGAGGCTAGATTCGTAAGACGCTACATAATTTTCTATTTGCCTAGTCTTTGTATGTGCAAGCAATAACAGGAATTGGGGCTAATTTGAATGCTTCTTAAATGAAAAAAGCACATTTTTGAACTCATTACAATGTAGAGCTTTTTCTGCAGTGTGTTACAGTTTTTAGCGTTCTTTTGTACATATGAGAGCAAGGATTGGAAGTCCAAATACGACCGATCATACGTTGACATTACAATAATACCAGAAAAAAGCTTTTCACACTGAGACAATGATCGTGACTAAAACACCACACGAGTACATACGAGTACATACGAGTGACATACGAGTACATACGAGTAACATACAAGTACATACGAGTAACATACGAGTACATACGAGTGACATACGACTATTTTCTGGTCAACAAATGAGAAACAACACAATTTCTTCAATACATTGATATTTGAGTTTATTTTTCCATGTATTTGTGTGGACTTTGGGGCAACCATTTGATGGATTTAAATGCTGAAAAGGTATTTTACTTTCATACTACATTCATTTGTATGTTTTAGTTGAATTTTTTATAGATATTTTGTCGATGCGATTTGCCAGTATTTGAGCGCTTTTTGACACATGTAATCGTTTTACGTAAATGTTGATATTCAAGAAATAGCGTAAGATTTATTGTTTATAGCTATAGTTTAATTCAGTTTAAATATGGTAATATTTTTTAGAAAACAAAGTTCATTTTCATCGTTGATTTTATTTTAAAAAGTGTAGGAAGTAAAAGATCGGAGTGAGTATTTACAATGGCAAAACAGTTAACTATACTTAGCCATTTGGTGAAATTCGTACATTTTGGATCCTTATTAATGGTTTTGAACCCGGTAGTATCGTTACATGTTTGTAATTGTAGATCGTCCAGGTTGGTATAGTCCTGAGAAGCAGGGGCGGATCTAGGATTTTTCAAACATCAGTCATAAAACGTCGGAGGCACTCCGCGCCGGGGGGGGTCTGAGGCATTCTCCCCTGAGAAATTTTGAATTTCAGAACCTCTAAAATGCCATTTTCAGCGTTTTAGAGCAATACAAGATGTATTTTGTGGGCATCGTTTTTCGGTAAAAACAACACATTTTGCTTACGTTTTTTCAAAAAAAAAGTGAACAATACTTGAATGTTTTGCCAAATAATTAGGCTCATTATCATGCCAAATATATGGCTCATTAGCATGTCTAGGAACGTAAAATTTATTTTACAATAATGCTATTCAAAACAGATATAGTCTTTAAAAATTTCTACCAAGTTGTCAGGCATAGACCCCTAGAGACCCCATTCAAACCTCTATGTAATAAGTTAAGTTAGAAATTTGGTACTACAAGTGACAGTTCATAAATATAGAAAAGCTCAGACTTCAAACCATGCAAGTTTATTGTAACCCTTTACCCATCTCCACATCAGAGCCAGCAAATTCACTTTTGAGAAAAACTCAAAATTTTTTCTGTCAAAGATTAAGAAAATTATCAAAGTGAAAATTGCAAGGACAGCTTAATGCCATGAATGTTTCTTAGGCATTTCACTATCTTCTGTAAGTATATGCAAGGTGTGCTATATAGCAATCACTAGTAGCATTGTATTTGCAAATACAAACAGAATGTAACCAACATGTCTTTAATTATATAATTACATGAATGTTAAAATTGGTTCATGTGTCATGCTTACTGTTTATGATAAATATCTTTTCATATGATCAAAGCTCGTTTAAATGTAAATCTGAAATAATTTAGTTTAGAAATTATACTGATCATCAGAAAAATTACCTAGTGATCATGAAAATACTTTGCTGTTTTGCCAAATTTCAAGGTTTATCTGCATACATTGGAAGACATTTTACTTTATAGAAAATGCTATTCATACATCAATAGCCCTTGGAATTTATGGCAAACAATCTGGTATGAGCAGAGATTAACACACCTTTACATCTCTACATGAGGTGTTCAGTTAGAAAAGGGGACAATATGTGACATGGGACAACATTTCATGTATGTGAAATACTCAGGTTTAATACCATTCCAGTCAAATTGTCAAAATAAAAGCTTCATGGATCAGTAGAGTCAAAATCACAGGTTATAGTAAACAGCTTCTCATGTAATCAATGTTAGTTTTCTCAAATCTTAAACAATATGTAGTATAACTGTCCAATGATTGAATGATCAATGATCATAAACTGAAAAGCCCCAAACATTTGTTTATGATAAAGTAAATAATATGGCACCTTATGGCTACAGATTTTTTGTCCATTGAAATATACTTGCAGAAATGTAGGATTTCGCTACCATATAACGGCCACGATTCCCCAAGCACTAAAGAAATCATAGCTAAAAGTCCTTCGGCAACAACAATTTTAGAAGCATCAATCTGCTTACCATACGCCATATTAACATAAATCGCATCACACACTCGCATAAATTGACTTTGATATATTGCATTCATGCATACACTTCACTTGTCCTTTACTTACGATTTTCGATGTAAACTTCTGCTGATAAAACTCAAAACAATGTTGGCTTGCTTTTGAACATCAATGACTGAAATGTCGCTCGCGAGATCGTCTTTGCCAAGCATTTACAATTTATCCATAAATTTTTCACCCTCTTGAAAAAATTCCCAGTTTGGAAAGCAGCATTCATGTCAATATATGAATTTGTAAAAGATTTCCATAAATTCCATCTGATTGTAGTTTAGTTTCTATCATGCTTCAGAAAATTACTATGAACGATCAAACATTCAATTCAGACAGTGAGCTTGACTATGTTAGTTCAGTTGGCTATCAGTCGAAATCGGTCAAACCAATCGCAGTAAGACAAAAATTCAAATGAACCAATTGTAAGATAGCAATTGGACTCCCTTATAGGTCCGGCCACCCCTATTATCGGTCGAGATTATTCCAGACTGTCCACTGATCTGGCCATTGACCAATAAAATAGCGTTTCTGGCGTTCATAGACTCCTTTATAAGTCGAACCAGTCAAGTCACCCCGCTTATCAGTCGGTTATTCCAGGTCAATTAAAATTCAACTGATCTGGTTACCAAGGAGATATTCGTTGCATTAGTCATTAGTTTTCAATAATAAATAAAGCTGGATTTTTATCACGAAGTAAATGCGATAATAAAGAATAATTAGTGATTTTTTAATTAATATGAATAGGTAATTTTTGAATTTCAAACATCAGTCGCGCGACGGATTTGACATACTCTAGATCCGCCCCTGCTGAGAAGGACTGTTTTTGTTGTTGTTGACTGACGTTTCGACAACCTTAGCGGTAGTCATCTTCAGAGTCAAAATGAATGTATAATCGCTTTCATAAATATGTATTTCTTTGGTGAAAGTGTGTCAAAAAGCGCTCAAAGACTGGCAAATCGCATCGACAAAATATCTATAACAAATTCAACTAAAACATACAAATGAATGTAGTATGAAAGTAAAATACCTTTTCAGCATTTAAATCCATCAAATGGTTGCCCCAAAGTCCACACAAATACAAGGAAAAATAAACGCAAATATCAATGTATTGAAGTAATTGTGTTGTTTCTCATTTGTTGACCAGAAAATAGTCGTATGTCACTCGTATGTACTCGTATGTTACTCGTATGTACTCGTTGTTACTCGTATGTAGTCGTATGTCACTCGTATGTACTCGTATGTTACTCGTATGTACCATTGAGTTCTATAATAACTGGAGCGGCTATCTCAAGCGCGGCCCAGTGAACTCCATATATATATATCTGGAATGATAACGACAATACATTTTATAGATATAAAATTGAAGCCAAAGTCCTAGTCTCTTGCGCGGTTTGTACGTCAGTTCCAGTCCTTCAAAGTCGAATATTCACGCGGCTTGTACGTCAGTTTCATTCCTCTGATGCCAAACATACACGGCCAATATAAATTTGAATACAAATTGCAAAAAAAGTATAAACAATATAAAAACAAATACAAACACACGAGGCCAACTCTTCGCAAAAGATTATTTTTACAGCTGAAACTTTACTACAGAGTTCGTTTTAACTACAACTTGTAACGAGGAAAAGCCAACTGAAAATTACACTGTTTGCTAAAAGATACATACAATAGAAAATATGACGAAAAAATATTCAAGCATAAATTTTCTTTCGTCAAGGTAAACTTTCAAACGGAAAACAAAAAAGACAGTGTTTGTCTTTTTTGTCATTTAAGTGGATTTAAAGATCTGTTTTTCCGAATAAAAAAGAAACTTGAATATCCAGTTTCATAAAAAATATCGAGTCTATAACTCGCATTTTTACTTTTTACAGAGCGATTGTATTTTTCATCGATTTTGATAGTGCTTGAAACTTGAAATACTAAATGGTTGTCATCTCGATATCAATAATTGAATATCCTTAAAGACTTTGATATGTTTTAAAGGAAAACCGCAGCGTAAGAGCAGATCGACTAAGTTCACCTCATCTTGCTTCTCGATTTATCACTTTGATTCACTTTCCGTGAACCTTTTCATTACAAACATTTCGTTATTTTTACGCTCTGATCAAGATCCGAACTCTACCATTTCAAGGGACAAATGATTTTAAAAATAAAATGAACACGCGAGACTAGAGCCTGACGTGTGATGACGAATGATGACGACAAATATTTTTGGCTTCAATTTTGGCTTCGGTTATCATTCCAGTTATTCAAATGTCGAGTTCACTGGCGCGGCCTTAGATATCTGATGTTGGAAAAAACATGGCGGATTTCGTCCGTTGCCGCTGAGATTTACCGAAATTGACCGCTTTTCCGAAAATTTCACAATTTCCACTCTCCTGAGGCAAGAGTGAGGAAAATGTATGTATTTGGGATTCGGCAATTTTTGTTGAAAATCAAGGTAAAACCTTAAATTCATAACAGTCAACTGTGGTTGTCAGTTATCTGCTGCTACGAGGATGCATTTATAACTATCGACGAAAGACCTATATGTCGGCTACACATGTATGAATGCAGATGTGCGTCGTTTTCTTACCAGCGTCAAACTTGTTTGATCGATTAAACTCTTTAGTCTATACAAAAAAGTATATCATAGCTCATCTCCACGGTTCACGAGAGAGAAGTTAGCTTATTTGTTATCATTGCTATTTTGCTTCTTTTCATGCAATGGGCAATGGCTTTTTTCGCCACTATTGTAGGATTTTTACTTGTTTCTTTAAAAAAGTACATATTAAATCTGTGGATATTTACGGATTTTCTGTAATTGAGTTTCATATGAAATTTCAAAAAGACTCAAGTCTGCATAGGTTTGGTAAATAAAAACAAACAATATTGTGTAGAAATTACTTTAAGTAACCTTTTTGTGATGTTCTGAAGTGCAACTGCATCAAATACTTGTGAAGTTGTAGCACATTTTGATTTTGTTGTATTGATATATGAATTGGGCAAAATACAAATAATCATCAAAACACTTATGCTTCCAATGGTGTTTATAATTCATTTGTAGTTTTAATACTTCTACCTTTCTTTTTCACTTTGTTTTGTTTTTCCTATATTTGCAATATAAGTGCACTATAATTTGAATGATTAACACAGTCTTCACCTCAATAATAAATTTCATAAGCAGTTGGTAGTGCATTTTGTTCTCTGAGTATCCACATCTGGTGTTTTGTTCATACAAGAATGATGAAGTGCAAGTAGATATGTCATAGCAAGGCAATATAACCAAATGAATTACATTCCTATAGTGTACTTTTATGCTAGAAGCTTAAAAGCTTTTTAGAAATTAGAAAGTTATTGGATTATATTACCTCTATATCATCAATCTCATGATAAGAAATAAGAAGCAAAAAATTTGTTGAAAAGCTTTGAAAAGTGAAAAACTTTTCTTTAAAAAAGCAGCAATAATGCATATGATAAATCTCCATTCTGTACTCTAATAGGTAAATAAGCTCAAATTTTTCTTGAAGAAATATAAGAAATATATAAGAAATATACAGTACAGTAACTTTAAAGGTTTCATCACTGAATCTTTAATGCTTCAGTATAGTGCATTAGATATTAGTAACATTCAAACAACACTCAACTAAAATATTTTGACAAAGATATGACATGATTTAAACATTAAGTTACATAAAACCCAATGGCTTATACAGTTTGAAGCTTCACATCTGCATCGAGTCATCATCAATCTCAGTACAAATGTTTACATAGACACAAACTTTATGGCCTTCCATTTTACATGTTTGTGAATTGACATTTCATTAAGCATCAAAACACACACAACCTTCTTGCCATCTTTCTTTGGATCATGAACTTTAACTTCAAAGCATTCAAGGCATCATTAGTGAATCCATTGTCTCCATCCATAGAATTTGACCACAATCAATAACATCTTCCAGTCATCTTTACTCCTTGATCTTCCCTGCATGTTGTCAGCAAATAGAACATAACAAGCTCTGCTCCAAATCATGGGTACCGTTGGGGCTGATCATTTCTTATTGATACCAGATCACATTTTTGATACAGGGAAACTAGGAAACTATTTTGCAAATAGATGGGTAAATTTACGATTTCATGCATTAACAAATGACAGAAAAGTATACAGAATTTTATAAGAATTGTACAAGTATACAGAGTTCTATAAACAGGAAAACATCAGTATATTTGGCGTTCAAGTCAGTCTTAAAAAATACGATCTTTAATATGTATTTTATGGCTTTTCAAGTGCATGTATAATTGCTTTTCAATCGTTGACGGACTAACAAAACAAGCAACTATCTCACCTGTGAGAAGCGATATGTTCCTTTTTGTGGAAACTACGACATCCAACAATTGAACGATTGAAGTGTTGGCATTATAAAAGAAATGCCAAAAAAAATATCGTCACAGAATATGGAACTAACGATATCCATATACTGTGATATCGTGTTTGTTTTTGAAAAATTCTTTATAATTTACTATAGACACCAGGGGGAGGTCGAGAATATTATTTTTCTGCAAAGCGATCATTTCAGCGGAAATACGTCCGTTGGCCGCCATGTTTTTTACAACAGTTCCCAGTCCACTTAGCCGCTCCAGTTATTATAGAACTCAATGGTATGTACTCGTATGTACTCGTGTGGTGTTTTAGTCACGATCCTGAGACAATACGTTGTTAAAGGCCTAAACATTCTCTGCTAAAAGTGTATTATATTTGCTGGTGGAATATTAATTGCAAACAAGATTTTTAGCGCTGTGTTCTCATCCATTTTTGGAAAAATCGCTCGAAATTTTTAGCTTCAGAAGCAGAACGCATTGAATTGGTTTAGGGTTAGGGTTAAAGTTAGGGTGTCAAAACTCTCCGCAAAACAGATACAAAGCGCAACGGGTTGCAGGGGAGCCGCACTAACGCAAGACCTATCCGGTACGATAAATAATTCGGTGTAAAACCAATCCGATATCGTGTGAATAGGTCCTTAAAGAAATCACATATAAAGGCTACAGCACAATGGTCATTTGTTTAAATGTGACATAGCACTTGAGAGTAGTTATTAAAGACGCTGCAAGAGTAATGCATACATGTAAACAGTAAACTATATACGTTGTGCGATGACTGTGACCTGTGGTCAATGAGCTTATACTATGACGTATCCGTAAAATCAATCATAATCTTGCCATTTAAAACTAATGGCTGATCAGTTTGCGCATATATGTCTTTTCAATTACTGAATTTACCTTAGCATACGCATTATACTGTTCAGTAATCTGTTTTCTTATCTCTGTACAGTTTTCTGGCAATTTGTTGGTCGGTATGGAGCAATTACAGTTATATTCTTTATAAATGACATCAAGTTTCGTGTCGCAGTTTTCACTTGGTTCAGGAAAATTTATAAATACAAATAATACAATGAGACTAATTGCCACCATCGTCACAAATCTTTTATATCTTCTCTAGTTAATGTCGATTGTCAACAGACTGTCATCTGAAAGAAAGACATTTTAAAATTAATTATCGATGCGTGTTACAGGTGTTTGCGAAATTGTAAAAACAACCTTCGCATGCAAATGCTATACCCAATCGTCGATATGGCATTTGACAAATATATGGTGTATCCACGCTCTTAAAAATTTGATAAAGACACGATGTTTATCTCACCAAACGAGGTCAAGAAGAAGGCTTTGTTGTCGCTTTGAATGGCGTCAGCGTTATGTAATTATTGTGACACAGTATTAAACCATCACGCTGTAAAACGTTTAAGTTTCCAATTCAGCATTTTATACATATATGCGCTGCCAAATTTCACCTATAATCAACCAGCTTTTATACTTAATGGTTTCAAAAAGATAATTGCGAACTTTCGTGTTGTGCTTCTTACTGTTGACACAGAAATAAGTTTTGTATTCGCACAGACGGTAGACGGATGATTTATGAAAATGTGGAGGGAATGTAATTCATACCTTAACGACAAGAAGTTCGCTCTTGACAATACTTATGAAGGGTGATCTCCGCCAAAATTAAAAGCTATATTTTCAATAAATAACGCGCATTTTGTCCTTTGCAATGTGCATTTTGTCTTGATCTGCCTGTACTCTCGATTTGCCTGTACAATTTCCGTTAAAACGCATTTTGTTGTTGAACATTCCATTATGATGACGTTCTTATTCGTGACTCGCAAAAGGTTAGCACCCAGCAAACCGCCCTTTACTCTGAAAAGGGCGGTTTGCTGGGTGCAAAAGCCAAAAGCTAAAAGGAAACCATGCATGCACTGGTGCTAGGTCGTTTTGAGATGGCGAGTAATTTTATATTTTTATAATACAGTTTTTAATATCAACATATGAAAATATTTACAGATAAATGTTGGTGTAGGAATTTTCGACAACCACCTTAAGTTATAAACTTATAATTCAGGCTGGAAAATATGTCGTTTTTCGACGATTGATGTAAAATATTATATAAAAATATTATATTGTGTAAAATATTAGATTGTGTAAATAATTATATGTGATCGAGAATTTGATATTTATGAGTGGTTAGCACCATTTTCCACCCAGCAAACCGCCCTTTACTCTGAAATATAATATTTGCATACATCTAATATTTTACATAATATAATATTTTATATAATATTTACACAATCGTCGAAAACGACTATATTTTCCAGCCTGGATTATAGCTTTATAACAAAAGGTGGTTGTATGAAAATTTATACTGCAACTTTATATCTGTAAATATTTTCATATGTTATATAAAACTGCATTATAAAATATAAAATACTCGCCATCTCTTTCTCCTAACCATCATGCAATAGTTTCTGCTTTGATTCTTTCCATTAGCCGATATCTTTAATTTATTTCCGATTGTGTAAAGTAAAGGGCGGTTTGCTGGGTGGAAAATAGTGCTAACCCTCGCAAAACATCAAATTTTACTCGATCACATATAATTTATTTATAATTATTTACCGCCAAAAATTGTTAATATAGATAAATTATACTGTTGCAATATTTTATGCAATAACTATAACTATCTTTGTCCTTCGAAGCAACTTTTGTATTCTGTACAAGAGAAACGATTTTTTTGGTATGGGGGATAATAATGGAGCGAAAAATCGAGAGGCAGCTTTACTTCGCCGAGCAGCAAATTTACTGAATCCAGACTCTTCTGGATCAGCAAGTCTTGATCTTCATCGACTGATCAAGATGGTAATCTTGCCGATCATGGAGCTGCTCAACGTGTCCAATCGTCAACACTAGACAGCACATTGCAAGAACAACATCAGGCTTCGTCATCTCAAGCTTCCACATCAAGATCATCTTGTTCGATAAGAGAGCAGGAGTTTAGGCGGTTGTTTGCAGCGTATAATCGAGCTAACAATGGAAAGATGTTTTCTCAGACACCAGCATAACGTGGTCGATCTTAATTCGTGGGGACAACAAGGGCGGTGTTATAAACCACAAGAAACTTTGACTCACAATTTTTTTGCCTGGCAAACCATGAGCAAGATTGTGTGCCTACTAGAATGGAAGAAATTAAATTACAAAAAGCTGGTCTTGGACGAAGACGTATTACTTTCCATAAAGATTCAAGTGCATCCAAAGTGAAGGCAAAATTAGAAGAGATCTATCCCCGGCTGCTATCAGGCGGTGGTTTTGCGATATTAAGGAGTGGTTTATCACCCAAAGATTTATCTTATTACCCCTCCACCAAATATTGGATACCCTGTGTATGGCTGAAGGAATGAGGTCATGCTCGATACGCTAGTGCACAGCCCACGAGGCGCTACCATGGTTGGCGCCGAGCGTCAAAAATTTGGAAAATTAAATGCCTTAAACTCCGGAAAACGCTTTTTTGGTTTTATTTCATGAAGCTATAACATGGAACGTCACGCCTCGTACAACCAAGAATTTGTTTATTCAAATATCCTTCAGTCTTGGACTGTTTCGCCCTATGTCAGGGCTCATCAGCATGCCTAGGAAACACACAACACATCCACTGGAAGTATAAAATGTGATTCCGACATAGACAGCCCTCATTAGAGCCTTTTAATGAGCAGTCTGGTTTTAGGCGCCAGATTCTCGCCCTCACACCTCAGGCGTTGAAAGAGGAATTTGGTTAGAAATGGGAGACCATCTGGGACATTTTAAAGAATGAAAATGCTCAATTCTCATCTTATCGGTCTTTTCCAACCCTTTAAAACCATTTCACAATTTTTCCAGAAAAGTTTAACCTTTATCGAGCACATTTTTTAAGCGCAGTTTATTTGGTTTAGTGATTATTGCTGATCTGCTTCAGAGGACACAAATGGTTATATCAAGTGCAATAACTAATTATCAAAAACATACATTTTCAAAGATTTGTTTTGGTTTGTTAAAAGGGCATTAAGAGAGTGAAAAATGAGCCATGCAGACTCATTTGTGTTAGGAATTTAGTCTGCGAGGTTTTTAATAAACTTATCAGGATGGCTGCATGTAATTGCTTTTGATCGTCTTTTGCTTTTAAAATATCTTTATGAATTGAAATTCTGCATAATGAGCCAAGGCGTTCATCCCATTGAATTCCTTAAAAAGTTTTCACCCTATTTAAACATGAAAACGATCTTTCATTGAAGCACTAGGAACGGGGTAATAACAGCGTTAAGTTTCAATAATTTAACAAATTTGGGTATACACTGGTGAATACCAATGTGATAAATGTATTTCAATAATCTAGCGTGAGTTATCTTTTAAAAAATCTTTATCTTGGTACAAAAAGGACTTCTGAAGCCTAGGTATATTAAAGAGGACTATATTTTGCTGATAGTTGTTGAATTTTTTCATTTAGAATAGCTGTTTCCACTGCACAAAAGTTTAGGATTGACTAAGTCAAGAAATGAAAAGCTCTCCGCATCCGTGAATCTTTCCTTAAGCATATTTGTTACATCAATATTCTTCGTAATAGAGCTGTTTAAAATTTATATTTATCTCAGATTTTCGATGGAGGACCAGTTTTACTTTCAGTTGCAGAATAACAAATTTCAAAAGCTGTCTGTATCATGAGGGAAATTAGAAAATTACCAAATTCTTCAATTTTCTCATGCCAAATGGCTAATCAGTAGACCTATTTTGTAGAATATCATAGAATGGCTGATCTCTCCGAGATTTGGTAGTAGCAGTAAAAGGAAACAAAAAGAAAATGATTCAAGGTAGTGAGGAGGCCATCAGTACCTGTACTTGTTTCATCAGTTCATTTCCAAGGATTTTCACTTATCTCTGTAAAGGCTTTCTACTAGTGTATCAGTAATTAAAAATAGAAAGCAGGATTAACAGCTCAAATTTGAAATACCACCTAGTTTCCCTGGAGCAGGTATATCAACCCATGAGAGTTCAAATGGGATTTTCTTCATGGGACTGAATTTGTAGGTGGAAAATGCAGAAACATTAGCAAAAATATTTTCACCTTCTTTAATTTTCAAAGCAGATTGACATAAAACCAAATTAAGCCTATGTGCTGCACAATGTGAAAAATAAACATAGGGGTACACTGTCTTAAATTGCCTGTAAACCATTTGTTGACCTCATCACAGATGCCCCATCATAAGTCTGCATCACTAATTTAGGTATTACAGCCTCTCCATATCTCTCCTAAATTCCACTTTAACTTCATATCACTAATACCTTGTGCACCAGTTGTTCTTGTTTCTATTTTTAAAAAATCTTCACAATTTCACTCCCTTTATCCAGTCGAATAATGGCACTGAGTTGTGCTTTTGCTGTAACATCAGTTGTTTTATCAGCAGATGCTAAAAACTGACACTCTTTGTTCATCATCAATCTCATCCTGAATGACTGAGTCAATACCTCCAATTAAATCATTTTGGACATCAGCTGAAACCCCAGTAAAAACTCCACCTTCATCCACTCTCTCTGTACCTTGCAGTCTACCTTGCAAACGACGGTCAAAAACAGAATCCAATTTTCCAAAGCATTTTAGTAATTCTCTATAATTACCCTGGTTAAGACTAGCCCTGCTCTCATCATGTCCTCTAAATGCTAATTCCTGTTTGGCAGATATAAAACTGCCTCTAATATTTTTAGCATCTCTCTGTTTTGCTTACCTCTCATTCCTCTCTACTATAGCTTCTCTTCCCGAGAACTCTCGAAAGCAAACATCAACACCTCCCCTCAAATCAATGCCTCCTGTTTGTATGCCTCCATGTGAGATTTTGTTTTCTCGTGTTTCCCATGCTGTCACCACTAAAACTACCATGTGTGTATTTGAAGCCCATGGAGACTTTCTAAAGGGAAAGAATGAAACAACTTCTTCCAACAAAACAATCTATTCTTCCTCACACACTGGCAGATTGAAACCATAACTTTCTTGAAAGCTCCCTATCATTTGCGTCTTTAGTGTAAGCTTCGGTATCGGCCTATGCGGCGCTATTTGTTTCTGCCACTAAACCGTGAGGAAAACGATCTCTCTACCAACTCTGCTACTATATCCTGACCATCAAAGGGGAAAAGAGAAATCATCGGTTGATACGCTCAACTCCTTCCATGACCGAGATAAACAATCAAGTAATTGCAAGTCATATATTGGCGTATCGTCAAACAATCAAACTCCTGCGATGAGTTCATGGCATGACTTCCGCATGACTTTGGCGGAAGTATGCAGAACTTAGCTAATGACCAATCAAAGAAGCATATTTTTCGAAAGAGTGTAAAGCTGAAGAACTCAAGCAATGTCAATAGCAACGTATCCAGCGCTCAGGTGGCTAAGGTTTTCCCTAATTGCGGGCTTTTTTGCGTAACACAACCATTGAGTTCTATAATAACCATTGAGTTCTATAATAACTGGAGGGGAA